TTTTGCGCTATCAAAACTGCTTCAAAAAGTGTGCATTTACAAATAAAAATAAATACAATAAATTTATATATTTATCTAAAAACATATACGACTTGTGCATAATTTACAAAGATGAGTGGCGGACGGAAAAAGTTAAGCGGATTTGCGTATCGAAAGCGCGCTTTGGAGAAAAATAAAAAGGAGAAATATTAGACTAAATGGATTTTGCACAAAAAAGAAAGGTACAGAAACAAAGCCGGTTAATGATTGTATCAATTCAGAACAAGGAAGTATGTGGAAGTTTAGCCATCTTATGCATTGAATCAGAGTTGCTTCAACGATTGGCTTGTGAAGATTTAATTGACCAATCTGCAAATCTAAAAGTCAGGCGCTTTTGTCTCTGAAAATACCTATGTATTCTGTATCTCAATTTATATGTCATTATAATTAATGATTTTTAATACGAAAAAGGATGTTTCTTGTGAAATCATCCTAATCATAATAAAAATATTTTCAACAACAAATCAATTATTTTATTTATTTAAAAAACAATCTGGAAAACGGTTGACCTTGAAGGCCTTCCCTCAAATTTTTCGTTATTTTCGAACTCAAAGCGCTCGAAAACATACGCATTTGCAAGTAATTGAGCCCATAGAGCTTAAAAATCCGATAATTGTTTTAAATGACTTTTTTCAATCTTTGGGCAGAAATATCTTTTAAATTAATCAACCAATTGAGGTACGATCCACAGGATTTGTTAACGTTTTTAAAGCACATAGAGATAGCTGAGTACCAAATCTCGATTTCAATAGGAATTCGAATGTCGCTTCAAAGGAAAAAAAACTTTTTCGAAACTTTTCGTCAACAATAGCCTCGAACGGATCAACTGATTTTGGTGGGATTTACAGCATTCGGCGTAGTTTTTTTAGCTTTAGCTTCATATGATCTCAAAACGTCGAGAACTGATGAATACTCGATTTTCGAAAATCGGCCTGAAATCAATAACGTTCAATTTTGAAAATTAGTGGTTTTTGTAGCGGAAAGTCAAAAAGTATTCTGATTTTGTGTAGAATATGGGTAATGGAGCGGTATTGTTTACGGTGCCCAGGGCGGCAAGGAAAAATCCCGCCTTGCCAAACGTATTTTACCTTAATGAAGAATAATTATATCTTAAATCCGTGTTTTAAGAAATTAAAGTTTGTGGCTCATGTAAAGAAAGCCCGATTAATAATTTGTCTGAGATAAGAAGAAGAAAAATATATTTCACTATTTTCACTGCATTCGAAAGGAGCCATTTTCAAATAATAATAATTATTATTTTTAATTGCACTCCTGAATAAGTATAAAATTGTTATAGGTATAATTTTTTCTTGAAAAGAACACTTTTGGTGATGTTATAAATTTATTTAACTACGTAGTAAAAATATTTTGTATTTAAAAAAGTAACTCTAAACTTTTTGTGAAGTATTTTTTTCCTTAGAAAAATGCCATGGTTTTTCCATAGTACTCTAAGGACTAGTTGTACAATTTTGATTTAAAACTAGTTTTATATTAAGTTACTATTAAGCCAAAAATTAAATATATTATATAATTGTGTTAAGTAATTAAGACTTAGGTACTTTCACTGGAATGATTAAAACCAATCGGGTCCTCGACATAATTCGAAGGTAAGTCTCCTGCGGGAAATACGTTTGGAAATGAGCAGTCTATTGTGGCAATCGTTGAAAAACATGATTTTTAAAATGTATGGCATGCAATATTCATGAACTATTTTGTATTGTACGTAGTTTTTCTAATAAATGCGACTGACCAAATATTAGCTCTAAAATCCTCAACATCTGTGAAAATGTTGTAAACTCCATTTAAAAAAAAATACCTACTCAGTGGCTCAGTGCGATGTCATATATGACAAAATGGATACCGTAAATATGAATAGAATATCTTTGAATATGAAATAAATTATGTACAGCTCCTCTGACCGGTGAGAACAAACATACAGCACGCGTACTACATATAAAAGGTTAAGTGGATCCAGTGGTGGAAACTAAAATACAATCAGAAGTGAAAACCAAAATGGGTAAAACTTTTTTTTTGCCACTTTTAAACGCATTATAATACAATTGTTTACATAAAGATGTATTTCAGAACTCGCTACACAGTCATATGAAGGGCCAAAAAGAAATTATTTTTGTTGAAGTGTCCAAAATTTCTAGTTACGTCACCAAAATAATCACTCCTATATGAGATGGTTTTGCCCCAGGATTTCCTACACAAGAGTCTTTAGGTTTTGCTAACATGGGTTTATTAATTACCGAATGGTGGCAGTGATGTTTTAATGAATGTATTGGTGGCACTGTTTAGTTTACATACTGGCCATTTGAGTTTGGTATAATTGAGGTTGCCAATGTACCCGAAAAGTGGGTATTTTGCATGTCACGCAGAAAAAATGTGAGAGCAGAAAATTCACATTTCATATACATAACCCATCCAAAACCGTTTTGCATTTTACGTTTTGTTGGAAATTGACGAAAAAATCGGCACGCGCCATTATTTTTGGCGATGTTAGTGGCCTAAATCCTAAATGATTTGTGACCGAAGGGGATTTTCCCTCTTTGTCTTGCCTCGTCGCTGCAGAAGTGCAGACCTGGGAGGCTTTCGTTTTAGCAAAAATAGTACCTATTTAGCAACTAATATCAGTTCAGAGTAACTCTAAGTTGCTATTAGCTACCAATAGGTACTATTTTTGCCAAATTGAAAGGTCCTTTGGACAGGCTCGTGAAGATGGGCGCCCTCCATCGCCGACCTCGACCACAAATGTGGCCGGTGTAGGCGCTTTGTGGGACGTCCTCTTGTCCTGGCTCACCCCCGCCAGTAGGGGCCTCTTCGATACAGTACATACATGTTCTTTAGAAATGTAAATAATATCTGGCCAGAACATTTAAATATTCGCTCTTCTTATCTTCTCGCTTTTTTCTTCGCGCAGCTTGTCTAACCCCCCAGGAGGGTCATCGTCGCGGGCGCTTTTTTCCAGAATCAGATGTTAAAATTTTATTTCATAATTATGTAATTTATTCATTTGTTATCTTTTATACCGCAATAGGAGAACTGATTGAAATTGTATAGACTATAAAGGAGCTACGGATTGGGAAGTGATTGTCAGGTCGTCGGTGTATATGTTGGTGTTGAGTTGAGGGGATGTGGGATGTCGGAGTTGTAAATGGTGTATTGGTGTGGGGATAGGACGGTGCCCTGGGGACATCGGCCTCCATGGACCTCCCTCCTCCAAAACTCCTTAGACCAACTTGAAACCTGGTGCAACAGGTGGAAAGTCCAAATTAATCCTAACAAAAATTCGGCTATCCTTTTTACCAAACGAAAAATCCCACAAAACCTCGACAGACTGACACTATTCCAGGAACCCATCTCCTGGAATCCACAAACACGATATCTGGGCGTGACGATGAACCAGCGTCTCATGTGGAAACCGCACATCGTGGAGACGGTGGCGCGAGCGAAGACCACCAGGGCTAGGTTCTATCCCTTATTCAAAGGTGAAAAAACCCTCAGTTTAAGAAATAAGCGAACACTTATCAAGGTGGTACTTCAACAGCAGCTAACCTACCCCTCCACGACGTGGGGTAAAGTGGCAAAAAGCCACTTAAAGTCATTACAGGCTGTGGAAAACATAGCCCTTCGCACGGCCACCGACGCGCCCTGGTAAGTAAGAAACGCTGACATATTACGAGATTACGTACCCGAAGTGACCGACAAACACAAAAGACCTAGACACCAACTTTTTGACCCTGGGTGACCACCCCAACGACACCCCCCCCCCCCCCCCGCCGTTGACTACGTACCCGACGTGACCGACAAACACAAAAGACCTAGACACCAACTTTTTGACCCTGGGTGACCACCCCAATGACCCCCCCCCTGCCCGCTAACCTTTTCTGTTTCAGAGACAGCCAGGATCAAGAAACGAAGACAACGACACACACACACACACACACACACACCCCCCATACCCTCCTTAACCCTCCCCTCCCGCGCTAGCCTAAGGGCCACCTTAGCAAAGCGCATCCCAGGCTGCATAGCCGCACTACCCTACCCAACCATACCACACATAAACATGACACTACCCCCGGGGTTTACACAGACGAGCCGGCGAAGCAAGAAGAGCGCCAGAAGAAAGGGCCCTAGCCGGCGGGGCCCAGCCAGGACAAAAGGAGGTCCCACAAAGCGCCTACACCGGCCGCATTTGCGGTCGGGGTAGACGACGGATGGGGCCCACCTACGAAGGCTGTCCAGGCCTACACGAGATGAGGCAGGATAAAGAGGGATAATCCCCCTCGATCCCAAATCATTGAGGCCAATTTCTAGCCATGAAATAATGGCGGCGGGAGCAATGATCTAAGATCAAATCACTAACTTTTTTCGTGGGCAAGCGTCAGCCCATGGAGACTGCACAAGTCTCCCTGCGACAGCCCTTAATTTGATTTATTTGTTAGCGCAGCTTTTAATGGTTTAGATTACATATAACAGTAGAATTGCCTCCGGTTCAGATAAATCCATCCAAACACACGATATAGAAGAGAAATATAGGAAATGATCAAGATTGCCTATTCTTCCCATAGACATTATAAACTATTCTTCCAAATATATATTATGCGATGTGCCATGTGACATATTTTCTACAAAATAAAAATTACTGATTTTGTCAGGGAGACTAGTCTCCCTGGATTTTGATAACGAAGGTCAAAGATCCACAAACTTTTTATATTTTACGTAGTATTTTTACATCCCTTGACTATAAGGAAAACAACTCGTGTAAATTATACAAATGCAATTCATTTTAGTAAATATTACGTAATTGCTAGTATAAAATTCCATATTAATTTTAGGGGAAAATTTGTCACAGAAAGGGAAATTTCAGTTTAGAGATTTTTGTCTTTTTAGTGTTGGCGGCACTGTGGTGGTTCACTGATAATTCGCAATCTAGGATTTGACGTTCGATGTTCGATGTTCGATAAATCTATGGTCAAAACACGTGTTATTCTAGGTTAAGTTTGTTATTTCCAATAATTACAATTGTTAATGTTTTAAAATTATAAAATGCAGCACGATGATGTAAGTTAATTTTGTATAATTAATATAGAAATAATAATAATGTTATAAATTAATTTTTTAGGTCGTTTGGAGTATTATTAATAAGTCATTCTGTTCTTACAAAACGAAGTAAGTTTACCTGTACATTGAAAATTAATTTTATTTAGAATACTGTCTTTTATAGTACAAAAACCCAGAAGTTCTGTCGAAATGAATATAATTTAACTGGTTTATGTAATCGATCGAGTTGTCCATTAGCTAATAGTCAATATGCCACAATAAGGGAAGAAAATGGAATAATATACCTCTACATGAAAACTGCAGAAAGGTAAGTGAATGTAGTGTTAATAATGTCATAATTATAGTTAGAATTTATTTAAACTTTTGAATGTATTGTTACTAGCATAGCACTATTTTTGAAATATTTTATTTTTAGGTCCGCTTTTCCGAAGAAAACATGGGAGCAAGTAAAATTATCGAGAAACTTTGAAAAAGCTATTCATCAAATAAATGAAAATCTTTTATACTGGCCAGGATTTATAAAATCTAAATGTAAACAGAGATTTATTAAGATTACACAATATTTAATACGAATGAGAAAACTAAAATTAAGACGACAGTAAGCTGATATATTTATTATTAAGTATTTACTATTTACTTTGTACATTTTTAGAAAATTGATAGTACCATTGCAACGTAATATAGAAAGAAGAGAAAGGAGAAAAGAAGAAAAAGCATTAGTTGCTGCTAGGATTGAAAAAGGAGTAGAAGCAACACTGTTGGATCGATTAAAGAAGGGAGTTGTAAGTAAAGCATAACTTTTGATACAATACCATTACTGCAAATGTATCTATTATAAGTCTAAGTAACTTGTTCAAATTTCAGTATCAAGACCTTTATAACATTCCTCAACAAGCTTTTGAAGATGCCCTTGAAGAAAGGGAAGTAGAATCTGAACAAGAGGATGAAGAAATTGAACAAGAAGTGGAAAATGAATCGGAGGGACCAGAATTTGTAATGGCTAATTCTGATGATGAAAGCGGTGTAAGTTTCAGATAGTTAAATTACATATAAATCAGTTCCGATTTTGATTGTATTTATTGTGTATAATTTATTATTTATAAATAATACACAAGGGATTATATTTAGAATTTACCAGTCGTTTCGCCGATAAAGAGATATTATTTAATATTGTTTTGAATTCTGAGTTAATAGGTGACATAATAATATTAATTTAAAATTTATTTCTTACTCTTAAGAAACTACATTTCTTATCAGAAGAATGGTCTCCCATTCAACTGAGATTTTCGGTACAACAATCCACTATGCCAATTTTCAACAAGTATACATTTTTTATGCAGAATTGTCCACAGAATCTAAAAATGAATCCCAAATGATTATTAGGTCATTGGCGTAGATGTTGGGGTAAAAAAATCCGACTACTATCCATTCCTACGCCATTGACCTACAAAAATTTGTAAATTTTACAGTAATTTATGCACGTGTAAATGTTAACACCATACCAAATTTGAATCAATTTGTTATAAGCATACCAAAGATTTCATAAATAATATGATTTTAACAACCGACCAATACAGCCCTGTCCAATGAAAATGGTGAGACTTATGCCCATATGCATAGTCGATCGCCAGCGACTCGCCAGAGATTCACCGTTCGCTGGACGAGATTTTCAATGCACAGTCGTTCGTCAGCTAAGTCAAGTATGCGCATTAGTGAAACTTATGGCGAAGCGCCGGAGATTGCCAGTAGCATCTCCAAGGTTTCTCCAGAAAGCAAGTAACCTATTTTTATTGTGTTTTTGAGATTGTTCCAATAATGGATCGTAATTTTAACATGTTGTATAATGCAAACAAATATATTTCTGATCTAGATATACTCACACACGGTGACCAATAATGGAACCTAGTATTCTTTGCTGAATTTTAAGGGGAGTCTATAGTATAAAGTTTTTATTTACGATGCTTCATTAAAAAGATACAGTGTGTTAAACTTAAAAAAATATTTTAATTTTTTTTTAAATAATTTAAAAACTAGTAACTGAAATAATTTAAAATTAGTCACATGTAAACATTGTCCAAAATCTGAGGCTTTTTTCGAAAATTTAGATTAATCTTTCAATTAGCTACTAATAAGATTCGGTTTAAAATTACATAGTAGGCTGCAATAACAATTTTGAAATTCTGAGCAATTCAAAAAAAGAATAAATAAATAAGTATTGCTTTTCATCAGATTCAAGTAACAATAGATTTCGAACAAATTACATTTTCGTTACTAAAAAGATGTCACGCCTGTGTTCGTGGAAATGGAGTATTTTTGAGCATTTACTCAAATAAAATCATTAATCATGACTAATGTTATTAATTTCTTTATTCGATTAAATAACCGAATGATTAGTGTTTGCATGTCATTTAAGTAAAAATGTTTTCAGTTAGTTTTTTAAGTTTTACTCGAAAATCAGACCTTTTCAAAAAACATGAGAGAGTAGTAATTTGTAGAAAATTGAAAGACGAATCCGAATATATCATTATTGTTATATCTTAAGAGAAAAGCGTTTTACAATTTTGTTCCTTGCTGGCCAGTTTTTAGATATATAATGTATGTTTGTAATATTCACTTTTTTATGCTGTTTACATTATATTTATCTGAATGTGTTTTTTAGCTTTAGTGTAGTATTGCTTATATGTTGTATCTTTCGTGTTTTTCTTTCTTTGGCTTGTGTAAACATTTTAATGTATAGACACCAATAAATGCTTTGATTCTGATTTGATTTGTTAGGTACCATAAGCTATTTTATTTAAAAATATATGTCACCGAAACACTGTGTCTCCACCACTGGAGCATCTAAATTTTAGAGAAAGACCTCAGATTTTTGACAACATTTACATAAATACGTGCCCAATTTCAAATTATTTTAGTTACTAGTTTTTATATTATTTAAAAAACTTTAAAATATTATTTTAAGTTTAACACACTGTATCTTTTTCACAAAGCATCCTAGATGAATACGAAAGACCCCTTAAAATTCACCAAAGAATATTAGGTTTCATTTTTGGTCACCGTTTGTGAATCGCACTGTATATTGAAATTGTAATCGTTGTTGTAAAGTAAAACAGATTGTACTTTGAAATATTTTAAACAAGAATTTTCAACAAAGAAAAAAAAATTCTCATATCTTAATGCAGATCCTGTGGATGACAATGTATACAGGGTGTTTCTAAAATAGGGTTCTAAACTTCTGCTGCGTTTATAACTCATTAAAATAAGCCAAAAAGGTCCTATTAACATGTGCCCTAATACGCACCCTTAGGAAGTTATATGCCCTTAAAAGGGCTCAAACAAAACTGGTTTTTTTCTACTTAAATTTTCCACTCACCACTTTTACTACTCGTAATTAAACACTGCAAAGCTCAATTGACAGTTTATCAATAACTTAAATTGTTAAGCGTTGTGGCAATGTCTGTCTTTTATTTGCCATGGTTAACAGATTTTTATAATTTTTGGCCTAATAACTTAAAGAGCAGAGTAATTTTCAAACTCAATTTACTCGAAAACCATTGGAAATATCGATTTGGACAAAGATAATATTTTTTACGTAAAATTGTTAAGATTTTATAAATCTGTAGAGAAAATTGTAAAAAAAATTGAAATAAATAAAATTACGGGCCGAAAACCCCCTCCACCAACCTAAATGGGACGCATTTGATTTGCATGTCGAAAAACGGAGTAGCCCATGTTATTTAACGTAAAAAGTTATGTAAGACCCATAAATTTTTTTCTACTTATTTGCAACCGTTTTGTCAATAACAGAAAAAAAACAGTTTTGTTTGAGTCCTTTTAAGTGCATATAACTTCCTAAGGGTGCATTTTAGGGCACATGTTAATAGGAACTTTTTGGCTTATTTTAATGAGTTATAAATGCAGCAGAAGTTTGGTACCCTATTTTAGAAATACTCTGTATATACCCTTTACAGATATACCTCGATGTACCTATTATAATTATTTGTAGGTAGCATGTGGAGTCTGGAGTCTTAAGAAGATACAATCAGGTCACTGTTAGTCGTGTAATTGAAAAAACTACTTTAATATATCCTAATAAAAAAATTACTTAAATATTTCATAAATACGGCTTTCCAATTCCTAGTGTATCCTAATAAACAAATTACTTAAGATGTTTTATAACTACAGCTTAATATACTAACAGTTGTTATTAACGCCGAAAAGGAAAATTTTATTTAGTCTTACTAAATGTAATTGTAGGGTACCGCTACAACCCTTTAGATAATTATGCTTTAGCAATAATTTATGTGATACAAACAGCTACTTATATACCAGAGATGCTCAAAGTAATACATTTTAAAGCACCGTACCATGCACAAGCTCAGGTTAGAACAGTATGTATTCGGTGAAAAATAGCTTTGCGCATGTTTAAGCGCCTGTAGTTGAGACTATCACTCATCTGGCGATTCGCCAGAACGGAGATCGCCGGATGAACGTCTATGCAATAGAAATTAGGCGCCTTTCTTTCGCCAGCGACTTGACAGAGATTCGCCAGGTATAACTTCAGCAAGTCGCTGGCGATCGACTGTGCATACGGGTGTTAGACTCTTGCTTTTTAAGACAATTCTGAATTATTTATTGACTTGTATTTGTGGTTAAAGTTTGATTCATTCGAATTGAAACACCCTGTAGACTACCTTATAAGATATATCAAAATCATTTATATAGTTTTTAAGAATGGATATGCATATACAACACCACATATTTGTATTATCCATGAAAGGGACATCATCATTCAGTCTTGAAAAAGAAAAATAAAATAATAAAATATGCATTTATTACTCTTTTTTTACAGGAAAGTGATAGCGGTAACCCACAGGATGTCGATTTGGACAGCAGTTTTGAATCTTCAGAGGGTAGCGATATAGAGGTGGATGTTTTCCTTTTCTATGCTTGTATGTAACTATTAATTGTTGTCTTTGCAGGATATGGTATCTAATTCACAGAATACCAATAAACTTAAAGGTAAAAACAAAAAAGGTGCTCCAGGACCATCTATAACGAAATTGCAGAAGCCAAGGGTTGAACTTGAGTACGAAATGGAGCGTGAAACTTCGGTGCGTCACAGAGAATCTGTATTATAAAATATGTTGTACACTTAATTTGTATAAATATTAAAGATAATATACAATTTTTTTTGTTACTACTTTCCTATTGGAGTTACCACTGAGTATACAGGGTGTCCCACGGTGGCGAGACATTAGACATACTTCAGACAAATTCGATTTTAATTCTGAAAATTTGGGCAAGTGTTTTTGGGCATGCTCTTCTCAACTAAAGTACAGTATGGACTCTAATCCGAATATCCACTAATCCGGCTCGACGACCCAACGAATGCCCGTTTCGATGATCCAAACAAAACTAATTCGAACAAAATTTGGTTTAACGTATATAGTTCGGATTATAAAGTCAGACTAAATCTCTTTCAGCCCGTGTTTTAATTAGTTCGGATTAAAGAGTATACTGTAATGGCATCCACCTTGATGTCATCTTCGTTATTTTTAATGGAACACTATATATTATTGTAATTTTTGGATTCTACGTCAATTTTTAGGTGAACTTTCATAAAGGTTTCCTATTCTTAAAGTTAACCGTTTTTGATATACAGGGTGTCCACAAATTTCGCCGACGTTTAACTGCATATTCACGACGATAAATAAATACAATCTATGAAAAATAAGTTGTCAAAAATAAATCTAATTTAATTAATAACTTCATAACCCTTTTACCGATTGTGTTAAAATTTGGCACATTTATTTGGACTACCTATTGCGGTATATTATTTCTTAAAGCTTTAGTCAAATCGATATACTGGGTGATAGTATTCTGCGGTTACCTCTCCCTTTTAGCAGTGAAAACTTTTACAGTGGTCGTTTTTTCTTAAAAGGGCAGCAACATTGAAAAGCTTTTATTTAAAAAAAGATTGTCTCTTGAGTAAATCACCTACAGAAAGCCATTCTTGAGAAAAATGGCATTATTTGCAGGCCTGTATGTTTCGGTTTGTGTAGCTGTGTATTTTTTTAATTCAAAAAGATGTGTATTTTACAGTAAGCTTCCCTACTATAATTTCAAACTAACTTGATTTAATACAGAGTGGTAGAAATTTAATGCCGAATTTAGTCAAATTACCTTATTTTTTTTTTTAATGGAACGTCCTGTATATTTTTGGGCAACCTGATGAACAATTTTGTTCTCTTTCGAATGGTCTGCAGTTCCTAAGATTACACGCACTCCGTTGATCTGAAACAAAAATTTTAAAAAAAAAATTCTCAAAATGTAATATGTATGATGCCCTTGACAATGTAAGGTTAAAACATATATTTTTTTAAGAGGTGGTGCCCGATTAAATATTTCAAACTTTCTGGCTTGATAAAGAAAAATTATTAGTGAAAAAAAATGTAACGTTCTGAAGCAGAAACCTGTTTAAAAATATTGTGTAATATTTTGGAAGCAATCGGTTGAGCTGTCTTCTGAATATTCACTTCTGTTTGATCTCTCCAGGGCGTTTGACATTGTCGATAAAGAGATCTTGAGCCAGAAATTATACAGTCTGGGTATAAGAGGTAGCATGCTTGCATGGCTGACTTCATATATGGAAAATAGGTCTCTGGTAGTCAATATAAACGAGGAAAAATCGGATATATATGCGGTTGCACTTGGAGTACCTCAGGGTTCCGTACTAGGTCCATTACTGTTCATGCTCTATGTCAATGATTTGCCAACATACATTGAGCATGGTCATGTAACAATGTTTGCTGACGACACAACGGTTACTGTATCAGCAAATACACCTGAGGAGGTCCGAACAATTATATGTAATGTGGTAGATTCATTGAGTGTATGGTGCCATAGAAATAAATTAATCCTAAACACCAAAAAGACGGTATACATTAATTTTCATCTTCAAAGGCCCCTACCTGCAAACCTCATGTCCGATGAAGGTACCATGTCAGATTCGGTAAAACTTCTGGGCACCATCCTTGATTCTAGGCTCTCCTGGCATAAGCATGTTGACCATGTTTGTGGTCAGTTAAATAAAGCATTCTTTGCAATACTGCAGTTAAAGCATACTCTTGATCAGGCGGGTTTAGTTAATGTTTATTATTCCATGGTATACAGTCACATAGCGTTCAACATTCTCGCTTGGGGTAGAGGTAGTGAATGGGAAAGAGTTTTCATATGTCAAAAAAGAATTATTAGACTACTTTTCAACTTGAAGGTGAATGAGAGTTGTAGGAATGTGTTTAAGGATAAGCAAATTCTCACAACGCCCTCAATTTACATCTTAAGATGTCTAATTTTTACAAAAAATAATCTAAGTTTTTTTAATAAACGGACATATTTTCACAACTATATGACCAGACATGGTGAGCTGTTGAGTATTCCTTCTCACCACACAAGTGCTTTTAAAAAATCTTCATATTATAATTGTGTAATTTTATACAATGCTCTTCCTAAAGAAATTAGATGTATACGTGATTATAGAAAATTTAAAAACAAAACTAAAGAATTTTTGTCAGTTGGAGGTTTTTATAGTGTGGAGGATTTTATAAGTGGTAAATGATGCTAACTGTGGTTTTTTATTGTCACTATCGATGTATGTTGTCCTGTTCTTTTTCTTTTTAATATACTTGACTTGCCATATGTACAAATTTGTATCTTTGCCTGGCCAAAAAAAAAGAAGCTTTTCTAGACAAAATGTTTCTATACTTTACATGAATATTTTAGACCTTGTAATAGACCCATCAAAGATTATGTATTTAATTATAAGTGTTCGTTTGTGTTGTATGTTTGTCATTCTGTACTCCTGTGTAAATCATCGTTTATACACTATTTTTATGACTTATCCTATACATTGTAAAATGTCATAAAGGACAAATAAATATTATTATTATTATTATTATTATTATTATTATTATTATTATTATTATTATTTTGGGAATTGTCTGTATGTTTGCAGATAATCACGTTTAAAGTTTGGCAAAGAATTGACACGCTTGGGAAATTGGTCGCTTGTCAGCTTCTCAGTAAATCGCTTATAATTTTTACAGTTCTTGGAATATCAAGATAAAATATACACACGATATTCGTCATATTCCAAATTTTGAGCATTTTGTTCGGAAAAATTGATTTTTGTAACAAATTCTTAATTACATATATTTACATTGAAAAAACTTTTCTACTTTACCATTAATCTGCGATTCGTAGACCATAGAGTAGGCCTTCCGCAGCACTGGCAGCATCTTCTGCAGTGATCCATTCGCTGAATCCTCCCTTCACGAGTCGAATTGTGTTTTGACTATGGCGGTACACACATATCTTGCACTTTCGATCTCACAATGCTGATCACCGTTTCTTCTTACCTTGATGCCTAATGCATTCCGGTAAACTATAACTTTCACAATTATTGAAAATTCAAGATGAAATTTACACACAATATTCTTAAAACCACAAACATTAAAATGAGAAAAAGAATTGAAAAGTAAATTTCTTAACCATTTATTTAAGGATTAAATAAACCAAGACAAAAGAAAACAATATTTATTTACAAATTAAATAATTTTTATCAATAATTGCTGATTTATTTATTTATTTATTGTCCCTGCTGTGCCTCTGGATTTGTAGCTGATGAAAGTGCCATGATGATTACAACTGGTATAATATACATCCACTAGAACAAAAAAAAGGTACAATAGTTTTTTTTACGACTAAATTTCATGTGACCATAGTAAATAGAAAAATATGATAATTACAGTAAATACAATTTTTAGTCCAATACAATAATTAAATAAAAGCACCGACTGATGGCAATCTTTACACATAACTTACATATTTAGCCAAGAAGGATCTATTATCTTTAACTTCACCCTTTTCTTTAGCTTCCCTTTCTCGTTCTAGTTTTTGGATATAACTTGCTGTATCAGGCCTACGAAATTAATGCAATTAAAACATATTTTACAAATTTTCCTATTAAGCTTACATTGGACCCGTTTCAGTATGTTTGACATATATGCTGGTGGTGAATTCCCTTAATTTATCCAGGGGGACAACTGCTCCTTCACAAGTGGATTTTGAAGCTATCATCAACGTTACACCTATCACGCGACCTACGTAATCTATGAAAACTGAAAGTTTATCATCTAGTTCCGCTTCTGCTAGCATACACTAAAATTAATAAACGAGTATTATAAAAATTGAATTTTACTAATAGACTAAACAGAACAATGTACTTACAGCTTTGACCGTTGAAAGAAAAGCTCGTTCTGACCCATCATTGGTAATTACAGTGGCTTTAATTTGATAATAATCATTTTTTGCTGCTAAATCCTGAAAAGAAAAAAATATGAGTATATCAATTAAATCATAGAGCCAAATATTTACAAAAACTCAAACTATATAATTAGTACAAAATTCTAATGACACAGACCTTTATTTGCTTTTGCTCTTCAGGCGAAAGCAGTTTTTGATCAATTGTGGCTTGTCCTAATCGTAGACTTTGAATTGTAATATTTCCCCTGTCTGTAAATTCGGGATTCTCTGAAGATACTAATGCATGTTGTAATCTTATCCTTACAGAGCTATCATGTTCTAAAGTGCTCTGTAAATGAGCAGTATGTAATATATAAATTTAAGAAAATATTTTATATACCTACAGTAAGTATGGAATGCCAACCAAGTACAAATGTTAATCCGAATACTATATATTTAAGCATATTCAATAATAGATAAATAAATTTTATTATCAGGTTTACAATTATTTACTTTTTTAGGTTATATTATTGACAACTGACAATGTCAAAAGTCAGCATTGTTCGTGTTAAACTCCTCTGGCATGTATGAGTAAATATATTTAGTTGGAAATAATAATTGCATTCATTATCATTTACATTATTTATACTCAATACTGAACATATTCAAGTATTTTCTAATTTTGTTATAACAAACTCTAAATATGAATGAGTAGCAAAATTCAAATTATAATTTTAAAAATACAAACAGAATTTACTTTTAGTGTAAATCTTATGAACCAACCTATTTATTGACGTTTAATCTGGACACTTATCCAACATGTTCGATGTTTTCTTTTACTCATGATTTCGGAATCATAACGCGTTATGATCCGAAATCTAGCAATCTGATTGGTTTCCATCGGATCGTAACACGTTATGTGGAAATTATCATGGCCATAATATATCAATTTGTGAATACTTTTTAGAATTATTTTATACATTCAATTTATAATTCACTTGATTTTCCTAAGATTTTTTTAACTTGGTTTGCTTATATTTACATCTTACATTCATATAATAGTAAAATCTTAATCCACATTAAAAACATTAATTAATATTAAATTTTTATTAGCCATATTACAATATAAACTTATTTTTTAGTAGCAGCGGCTTCATCCTCACGCTGATAATTTTGAAGAACCTCCTGCTTCTTAGTGGCAATACGTTCTTCACGACGTTCACGGGCTTGCTTAACTTTAAGTCTCCTGGCATTAGCCTGATCTGCCAACATCTTTGCACGAGCTTTTTCTGCCTTCTTCTTATGAATGTATTCCATAAGAACTCTCTTGTTCTTGAAGACATTACCTTTAGCCTTCATGTATAATGCGTGGTACAGATGTCTGTCAATTTTTTTGGCCTCACGGTACTTTTTCAACAAACGTCTGAGGACTCGCATACGCTGTATCCACAATTCCTGAAACAAAATTTAATTTCATAGTATGCTGAATGCCCTTTTGTTTTGAACTACAGCTTCATACAATTTATGTGGCACAAATGTCTTCACTCTTACCTTTTGAGGCATACGGGCATTTGCTGTACCTTTTCTTTTACCAAATCCGCAATGTCTACCCTTTCTGCGGGCTTCAGTGTTTTTACGTACACGGGCACGTGAGTGTACAGCAACTGGTTTTTTAATGATGAGACCATCCTTAATTAATTTGCGAATGTTCTGCCCTGAAAAATTTTATATTGAAATTTATGTTAATATAACAATCTAATTAACTTACTTGAATTTGTATTTGCGATTTCATTCACTTCATTAGGATCCAACCATACTTTTTTGCGACCACATCTCATAACAGAGGCTGCTAACCTCTTCTGAAGTTTTAACGAACTGAAAAATAGGTCGAGTAAAATCAAAATGTAATTAATCATCGAGTATGTTTGTTATTCGTGAATTCTTTGCAATTCAAATATGAATGAAAAATAATTATAGTTAATAATGTTAATATTATCATGGCCATTTTTATGTTTATTAATACCTCTAAACACCATGTGGTGCAATTTCAGACATTGTAATGTTTACATTACTTAGCTTTCATTTAGAAATTTTTTGTCAAAATATGTCCATGAAACACTAAAGAAACAATTTTCAAAGAAATATATACAGAATATTATACATAAAAACTTATTTTCCAAACATACCTCATTTTTCACACGCACTTCACAACGTGTTTGAGAAAAAGGAAGAAAATTTTCATGTTACAAGGCTGCCAAATATTACAGTTTAAAAATAAAGTACCTATAATTGTTACCGGTCATTTAAATTTTCCCACCTTTCAGCTACATACACATTTGGTGATATCTACCCTGATAAAGTTAAATTTTACAATTAGAGACACAAATACCTATTATTCGTATTAAAACATCAGTCACTCTAATGAATATTATTTGAATTATGATAAACATTTTCAAACTTGTTTCCAAATTCCAACTTTCTGTCATAGATCTTAAGGATGCAGACGATAGTTAATTTTCACCATAGAGTAAAAAAATAATTATATCTGCTCCCACCATGGTAAATGGACCATTAATACATTGTTTTTAAGGAGGTAAGTGAGGTAACTTACCTCCCTAGGGAAAAAAGGGATTTTGGGTTATAAATGCAGATTTTATGAACAAATACATAGAAATATTTGATGAACATTACATTTTATTAATTATTATGAATTAATATTTAGTAATTGTACAGTTACTGCATTTAGTAACGCCGCGCCGCCATTATTCTATGGCTAGAAATTGGCCTCAATGATTTGGGATCGAGGGGGATTATCCCTCTTTATCCTGCCTCATCTCGTGTAGGCCTGGACAGCCTTCGTAGGTGGGCCCCATCCGTCGTCTACCCCGACCGCAAATGCGGCCGGTGTAGGCGCTTTGTGGGACCTCCTTTTGTCCTGGCTGGGCCCCGCCGGCTAGGGCCCTTTCTTCTGGCGCTCTTCTTGCTTCGCCGGCTCGTCTGTGTAAACCCCGGGGGTAGTGTCATGTTTATGTGTGGTATGGTTGGGTAGGGTAGTGCGGCTATGCAGCCTGGGATGCGCTTTGCTAAGGTGGCCCTTAGGCTAGCGCGGGAGAGGAGGGGAAAGGAGGGTATGGGGGGTGTGTATGTGTGTGTGTGTGTGTCGTTGTCTTCGTTTCTTGATCCTGGCTGTCTCTGAAACAGAAAAGGTTAGCGGGCAGGGGCATTTAGTAACATTTATAAAATCTGGATAATTATTCCTCTCGCGTCATCGGAGGCTCAGTCTCAGTATTATCTGACTGATCCATTAAAACAGCATGATGCGAACGTACTACTAGAATCTGCATAGACCTAGTAAACTAGTAGTAGTTTATAAAGTCTATCAGAACCTGGAGTTGAAATGTCATTGTAAAGAATCCTTTTGGCTATTTCATTTTTGTTACATAAATTGTCAACAACATAACTTTCTGCATTTGTGGCTGATTTCAACCCACCATGCATGTCTCTTGAGTAGTAATACATCAACTCCTCTATTAGCCAGTAACGTTGCCGATGTTCTTCGGAATGATGGCTTCTATATATTTCAGGATGTTCTAGTTGTCAAAAACTGTGCAATCTTATTAGGAATCATAGAAAAGGTATTCTTGCCGACTCACCATTTCTGATATAGCGATTCAAAAAGTTGAAAAAGTTGTGTTTTCCATAATGGACACACGTTTTTTTTGTTAGTCATTTTTCTATACATATATGACTGTGACCTTATAAACTAAAACTACTAGGCCTATGGGGGATGATGCTCTGTTCTGCACATAATGTGACGGAACATTTTCCTCTGGTGGTGTCATCCTTTATGAAGGTGGCAAACAACCTTTTCGTCTTAAGGCTCTTGTACACGTTTGGCCAACTAGTTGGGCCAATGAGTTGGGCCAAAAATGAGGGCACTGTTTACATTAGCGTTGCTCATTCTGCATTGGCCATTTAACGAGCGTAGAAACTGTCGCGGCCGCGACAATTTATTTGTGCAGTACTTTTAATAATTATAGAAATGTGTACCAAAGAACCACTATTCCATACCGCCATCGTAGCTCATAAATATAATTATTGCAAACTGCAACACTATCCTTTCCGCTTAAACGGCAACTACGTAATGAAGAAGAGGCCAACGTGTGAACACTGTTGGCGGATTGCACCAATGTCTTTTGATGTGTGCACGAAAAACCGACAACATTCGGCTGGCCAGCCAATGCTGGCCGCCAACGAGCAAATTACACCAAGTGGTCTAGTACACGTTAGCCCAACCCATTGGCCAAACGCGTACAAGAGCCTTTAGTCATATGAATATTGCTTGTGACGCAATGGAAAATATACTGCGATTTTAGTGTGTACTGTATATACTATCAAATTCGAGATTCTTACAAGTTAATTTTCAGAAACCTGCACTGGTATTTCCTCTCTAATCTAAGTATTTCTAACCCCACCAAGTCATCACCCCGCCAGACCCACATACTTCTATAAAAGTAATGTGGCCACTGGCCAGAAGGGCTTTCGTTTTGGCAAAATTAGTACCTATTAGCAACTAATATCAGTTCAGAGTGACTCCAACAATAAGTTACTATTAGCTACTAATAGCTACCATTTTTGCCAAATCGAAAGGCCCGCAGACCTGACTCAATTGACGTATGAAAAGAAAGGAACTATAACGTGCTATAAGTACCATAACCTGATTTTTACAAATATAACATATTTGCCGACGTCGACGTGTTACCGAGTTTGTAGTATAAAACTGTAATAAGTTCTGATAGTTGCATCACCTTCGTTTCTGCTTTTAATTGCATCAAGAGGAAATTGCATTTTTCTTATTTTTAAACTTAAATTATTAAAATAAAACATGTCAGGTGAAAATAACCAACGTATGAAATCAATAAGTTTGTCTGCAGTACTTAGTTATCTTATAATTTAATTTTTTTAGCGATATATACTTCGGAATCCCAAGGCAATGATGAAACTGGAGATGGCTCTGAAGGAAAACCTTTTAAAACCATACTTCAAGCAATGCGAAAAGCTGGATCTGAACCATTTCCTGTTATTTATGTAGATGGTAAAGAGGAAGGAGTTAAATATGATGTGGCTGCTAAGTCACAAATTAAAAAAATTCAAAAGATTTGGATTAGAGAAAATTATAAATCGGTTGAAAAATTAAAAAAGGAGGAAGAAGATGCGGAAAAACGAGCAAAAAACCTAGAGGAGGCAAAGAAATATATTATTACTGAAGACAAATCTTTACCAGAAGCGCAGAGAATTAGGATTTACCAAGGTAATATACATTTTAATTAAAATATATTGTGATTAGGTTAATATAATGTAATTTTAAAACATATAACATTTTTAAAATTTATGAGAATTTGTTAACTGAAAGTTAATATTCCTTTATTTTAGGTGAAAAATACAGAGACCAGCGAGTTAAGATATATGGGTGGGCTCATAGAATTCGACGACAAGGGAAAAACCTTATGTTTATAACTCTTAGAGATGGCACAGGTTTCTTGCAAGCTGTGTTGAATGATGTTCTTTGCCATACCTATGATGCCCTTGTTCTGCAAACTGAGTCATCAGTTATTCTCTATGGTATAATTAAAAAAGTACCAGAAGGTAAAACGGTGAGCCAAAAATATTTTATACTGAAGAATGAATTTTGAATGGAATATTATAATTCATTTTATATTTAAGGCTCCTGGTGGTCATGAGCTAATAGTTGACTACTGGGAATTAATAGGACTCGCCCCTCCTGGTGGGGCTGATTCTATATTGAATGAACAGGCCTTACCTGATGTGCAAGCTGAAAACCGCCACATTATGATTCGTGGAGAAAACACATCGAAAGTTATGAGACTTCGATCAGTTCTACTGCAAGCTTTTAGGTAGGTGGGAATCAGACTGGTTACAAAAAAGTTTAATTCGTCGATTTGTAGGGATCATTATTTAGATCGAGGATATTGTGAAGTAACTCCTCCATCCATTGTTCAAACTCAAGTGGAAGGTGGTTCTACTTTATTCAAGTTAGATTATTTTGGGTATGATGTTAAATTAAAGGGACTAAATGGAAATTCATTGTTTAATATTGGTTATTATGTTCTAGAGAAGAGGCATATTTAACACAAAGTTCACAACTGTATCTTGAAACCTGCCTTCCATCTATGGGTGACGTCTTTTGCATAGCAGAAAGCTTTAGAGCGGAGCAAAGTAGAACGAGGCGTCATTTAGCTGAGTAAGTTATTATTTAAATGTAATTTAAATTGAATTGTGTCTGCGCAAATGTTTAGTAAATATTAACAAAACTGCACTCATCAATATTAATATTATTATTATTATCTACTCTAAATTAAATATTTAATTGATATTTTGTTTGTATAATACAGATTGTTAGCACAAAATGTATAAATATACAAACAATATTACGTAATACTATGAATTGCATCATTGATATTTTAACTGAATGATAAGAATCTTTATCATCTTTATGAATACACAAGGTGTTCTATTAATTCTTGCTTTATTTTAAAGGTATAATATATTAATTATATTATTTTTTTAATTCGTATCAAATGAAATTGTGGACAGCATGGCTCATTAAAAACCATTCCACATCTTTAAAATGTGTGACTCGCCTCAAAATTTGAATGATTTTAATTTATGTATAATGGGCTTTCTAGATGTACTTGAATTAATTAATATCATTCATGGCTTACTGTCTTTTTTGTGGAAACTATTTTTTCAGAAAACTATTTAGTTTTTTTTATTAAAAACGTTAATCATCATCACTTAAAACTTCATATCTAAAATTTTCTCAATTTCTAAAACAGTTAGGTATACAGTCATAAAGTTTTAAGTTTATAAAGTTTCATCTGATGATGAAAATTAGACTATTACTGAATGCTGATTGTAAATTGTAAATAATAGTGTGCTTACGGTCCTAAAATTGTAAAAATCTATATGTAAATATAATAAATTACATTGGCTAACTGTCATCATTTTCAGCCACTTTCACTGTTCTAGATTTTTTAACTTAAAAAGAATCTTAATAAATTTAAAATTTTTTTTAAGACACTAAAGTTTAAAAAAGAAAAGATTCCTGAAATGATTTTCTGAAAAGCCACTGCTAAAAAAGAAAATCGCCGTATGCCATGGAATATCCAGATAATCCTAATTAGATCAACAAGTACCATGTAACGAACCCCAATTAATTTAATAACACGCTAATATTTGATGAACGATTGTCTTTTCCTATTTGATGAATGATTGTCTTTTCCTATGTTAATAATGTATGAACCTAATTTTGTATTTAACATAGGTCTAAGCACTAATATCCGGTGAACAGATTGTCTGTGTCACCGATCGGTTATAAAAGCGGAGATCCAACCATGGAGAGACAGTAGTGTTGATGAGTATTCCTCACCACGAAGAAAGGCTTTCCTACCTACCTTGCTCTTTTCTTACCCTTTCTATCTGGAAACAGAGCATCGGCTTACCTACCTGTTTCTAGGGCTCGCATTACTCCTTCCATTTAGGAACAGAGCATTGACTTTCCCGTCTGTGCCTAGAGCTTCTGTTACCCCTTCCGTCCGAGAACAGAGCGTCAGCTTTCCCGTGTGTTTCTGGAATCATTTCCTTAAAAGCTCTGAGGGTCAATTTTTCCTCTCAGAATCCCTTACCCACATATCCCTACCAAATAGCCATCAACCTGAGTTACAAAGCTTTATTTTTCTGCCATTTCCCAAATATTAATATAGACCTTGTATCATTTTGTTAGTGGTGAATCTTAATAGATAAAAGGAGGTATACAGGGTGTTTTAGAAAACATGGGCCAAAGGTCGGGGGCAGACTCGTAATCTAAAAATAATATTATTTTTTCATATCAACATGGGTTCCATTTCGTTTTGTTCCTTAGTTACAAGGTATCAAAGTTTTAAAAAAATATATATATTTTTTCCAAAAATCTAGATTTCCACTTGAGGGAATTAAATGAAATTCTATTTACAAACGAATACACATTCCTAGGTATTATTATGTTGAACATGAATTACAGGAGTGGACTTACTTGCAAACCCTTGGATTTTATCACAGAAAAAATTATTCTCCGTTGAGATTTTTAATTTATAATTACATGGGTTAATTTCTAGCTCAGTTTTGACCAAAAATTGACTTAACTCGTCGAAATATTCCTATGTTTCGGCGAATTAAAGCGAATGCATCTGATATACGCTGCCCTTGAAGTGACAGGAGTTTTATAAACAAGCTCTTTCACATGTCCCCAGAGGTAGAAATCTGTGGGTGTTATATCTGGGGAACGAGGCGGCTACGCAATTGGACCACCTCTCCAATCCAGCAGTTTCCAAAAAGTTCGTTGCTTGCCAGTAAGTCCGGTCCTGTAATTCATGTTCAACATAATAATACCTAGGAATGTGTATTCGGTTGTAAATAGTTAATTGTGCTAACTTCATTTATTTCCCTCAAGTGGAAATCTAAATTTTTTGAAAAAACATTTTATTTTGACACCCTGTAGCTAAGGAAATAAGTGAAATCGGACCTATGTTGATATAAAAAATTATCTTGTTTCTAGGTTAGGAAACTGCCCCGAGCATTGGCCCATGTTTTCTGAAACATCCTGTATAAATTATAAACAGGGTGATTCGCAAATGGTGACCAAAAATGAAACCTCGTATTATTTGGTGAATTTTAAGGGGTCTTTCCTATAAAGTTTTTCAAAAATTATTTTTAATTTTTTCAAATAATTTAAAAACTAGTAACCGAAATAATTTGAAATTGGGCACACATATTTATGTAAACATTGACCAAAATTTGAGGACTTTTCCTAAAATTTACATTCTCGAATGGCGGAGATACAGGGTATCGGTGTCATATTTTTCTAAATAAAATGGTACGCCACTGCTTTACAGTAAGAACCATAATATTTTCGGATTCGTCTGTCAATTTTCTACAAATTACTACTCTCTTATGTTTTTCAAAAAAAGCCTGATTTTCAAGTAAAACTTAAAAAATCAACTGAAATCATGTTTACTTAAATGACATGACAAGCACTAATCATTCGGTTATTTCTTCAAATATAGAAATTAATAACATTAGTCATCATTTTAATTATTTTATTTGATTAAATGCCCAAAAATACCTCCATTTGCACAAACACAGGCGCGACATCTTTTTAGTAACGAAAATGAAATTTATTGTTGCTTGAATCTGATGAAAATCATTATTTATTCTTTCTTCTAACTGCTCAAGTGTATTAATTTCTTCACTGTATACCAGCCGTTTAACAGCACTCCTCAAGAAGAAATCCAATGGTCTGGTGTTTTCAGTTGGTTTTTTAAGTTTTACTCGAAAATCAGTCTTTTCGAAAAACATAAGTGAATAGTAATTTATAGAAAATTGAAAGACGAATCCGAAAATATCATGGTTGTTACTGTAAAGCAGTGGCATACTATTTCATTTAGAAAAATATGCCACCGATACCTTGTATCTCCGCCACTGAAGCATCTAAATTTTCAAAAATGGAGTCAGATTTTGGACAATGCTTACATAAATACGTATGCTCAGTTTAAAATTATTTTACTTACTAGTTTTTAAATCATTTAAAGAAATAAAAAATATTTTTTGATGTTTAAGAACCTGTAACTTTTTAACGAGGCATTCTAGATAAAAACTCTTTAGGAAAGACTCCCCCTTAAAATTCACCAAAGAATATGAGGTTTCATTCTTGGTCACCATTTGTGAATCACCCTTTATGTTGTATAAAGTTTTTTTTTTCAACCCCGTGGTTTATACTTTTCTCCACTCTTACCCAGGCTGTAACTTTTTTTGTGGCATCCAACCCCATTAATCTATTTCCAATATTTTTATACTCTTTTTTTGGTCAAGAATAGAACAGTCAGGGTCAGACATATGAATAAAAATTAATTTTGCCAAATTGCAACTTAAGCATTCATAAAATTTTGTAAAACTAAACTACATAACACCTGTAACTGCCAAAGTGGAGTTCTCTCTTTAGGGAGGTCCATGAAACTATTTTCAAATGGCCAGATGTTACATACTAGACAAACAGGGTTAAATATAATTAACTTATGTATATACCTACTATAATAATTTAATTAAAGAAATAAAGCCACAGAGAACTTAGTTATTAATAATTATGCAGAATAAAAATAATCTATGGAAATATGACTAACAAAAAAAACCTACCCAACATACGAAAATATTGCATAATGTTTTTTTGGTTAAAAGCCGACACAAAATTCATGCTAAATTATGTAACTATTTCTATATTTTAAAGATTGTTTTTCCAATAGGTTTCTTTTTAATAATATAATTAATAAATATGAATATTAATAGATAATAAAATTAGTTACATAAAATACGTTTTAGGTATACACATATAGAAGGAGAATTGGCTTTCATTACATTTGAGGACCTCCTAAATGCTTTAGAAGATTTAATCTGTGATGTAGTAGATCGAGTGTTAAAATCGCCTTATGCCCATATCGTCTATGAATTGAACCCTAACTTCCAAGTACCTACGAGACCATTCCTTCGCATGAACTATTCTGATGCTATAGAATATCTGAAGAAAAATAACATTACAAAAGAGGATGGCACATTTTATGAATTCGGAGAGGTACTTTTAAAAAATAATTCTACTTTTTCTTGTTTAAATAATGTCTTGTGTAATAAAAAATTATATACTGTTTCGTAGGACATTCCAGAGATGCCCGAAAGGAAAATGACTGATAAAATCAATAGGCCCATCATGCTGTGTCGCTTTCCAGTCAGCATAAAATCTTTCTATATGAGTAAATGTCCAGAAGACTCCAAGTTAACAGAGAGCGTAGATGTTTTGTTGCCAAATGTTGGAGAAATTGTCGGCGGTTCTATGAGGATATGGAAATTAGATGAATTGTTGGAAGGGTAAGCATCTTTAATTGTGGTAAGAAAATCGTAAAAAACGCTTTATTTTAGAATTTTATTTTGTATTTTGTTGTTTAGGACATTTTTACATAAAAAAAATATATATTTTTAAAACATTTGAAATATGCAGATTTCCATTTAAAGAATTTTATGTTTGGTTCATGCCTGTTTGTAAGTCATCTGATTTTTTTTTTTAAATATTACCCCTTTTAGTTTGTTCATTATATCCTATTATATATTAATTTTAATTTTCATTTTACGCTAGATACAAACGTGAAGGCATTGACCCTGCTCCGTACTTTTGGTACAACGACCAAAGAAAATATGGGACCTGTCCCCATGGGGGATACGGACTTGGTTTGGAAAGACTTCTGTGTTGGTTGTTGAACAGGTATCACATTAGAGAGGCCTGTCTATATCCACGTTATCTGCATCACTGTAAACCTTAAATGTATTGAAGAATATAACACAAGCATTTAACCTTATATTGAGTACCTTAATTTATATTTCATTCTTTTGTATTTTCAAGAATTATGCTTAAAAGTGAATCTGCTTTTATATTTGATTTTGAATTCTTTATTAAAAATATTGCAATAAAGACAATGGAATGATTAATAAAGTGTGTTTTGCTGTTATTTTCCTAATTCCTGTTTAGATACTTCATGTTGAGAAATTTGAAGAAAAGTATACAGGGTGAATCACAGCTTATCCAAAAAAAATTTGGGAATAGATGCGGCATGAGAAGTGGTCAATATCGTAAAAAAATTTTTTCTAAAATCTAGTTTTCGAGAAAAACATTATTGAAGTAGTACTTTCAAGCATTACATCGCTGGACAACTGTAGTCTAGTTTCATTCGCAATATGCGTGGAGAACCATGTGGCCTCAGTGATTCCGAATACTGAAATCGGATTTTACAATGGTCCTTGTGATAGTGTTTACCTGTTATCTGTACAATAGTTTTTTAGTAGTGTCAAAAATGGTTTGCGTGTATAGCAACTCAAAGTTGATGGATACCGTTTTAATTTATGGTGAAGCAAGACTACATTTGTGTTAGTAGAAACTGAATAAGACAAACCCAATGTGTTTACACGTCGGTGGATAAAATTTTGAACAGTTGTTGTAACATCAGGTATGCCAAATTAATTTATTATTTAAAAGCACAAATTAATTTTATTAATTAATAATAACGAAAGCAGTTGAATTTGCCGATATAAAATAGGTGCTATAAAATTCTATTTATTTCTTTCCTTGCGAAAGTTTTTGTCCGTTTCTATCACACTTCTATCAACCTAATTTGTTTAACAATAGGCCGTCAACTTTGACAGTCTGTAACTCGGTTGTTTTTCAACGAATCTTGCCGATTTTTTTTTAACTTAAAGCTCTTTTCATAAGCTTTCCAATAATGTGTAATCTATATCACGCTCGTGCGTCGTATATTTCATTTAGCAACTAGCTAAAAAATAAAAAAAAATCCAGGTTGCAAATTTGAAATTAAAAAAAAATGATAGAGTTCAATATATTATTATGAAATCTACTATGAAAAAAATCAGTGCGATTGTAGAAGATACCTCGGGATCGTCCAGACTAATAATTAGTTAATTTGTTTATAAGGCCATAACTTGTAAAGTATTCAACTTACCGATTCCAGATTTTGTGTGAGTTATTAGTATTAGACAGTGATAAGGAATGAGAGGATGTGATGTCAAAACTTTCTGGTAATAATAACGCAGTTTACAAATGTTTAATTCAAAAGTCATAAATAAACTTCTGCTTATAACTTTTGATCTAATCAATATTTTTTGATGCTGGAGTGCTAGTTTTGTAGGTCTTTTGAAGACGAAAAAAATACTTTACTGTTTTCTCGTGGCAATGAACGGAAACAAGTTATAAGAGAAAAATTATACAATTAACCACCCTGTAAACAATCTTCCCCCCATTTTTATGACTGTGGAAACGAAAATGTTATTGTACATAATATTTAACATCTATAGTGATAAATTCAGCTTGCCGAAACAAAAAGTCGCGAAATGATCATTTCCCAGCTTATTTTCCTGGCCTATAAACTATAAGGAAGAAATTAAAAACGTAGTTGGCAGACATCAAAAATGACATTTAATATTCTTGTAAAGCATCCATATTACTCATAGACCTAGTAAACTATATAGTATAGTATATCATAGTAGTTCTATTACTGTTTAAGTTATTTTCAAAGCTGACAATATCTCATTTTTATAGTAAGTTTTTTCTCTTAATCATTATGCCTCCAACATTTACCAATGAAGAATGCGAATATTTATTTTATCTATGGGTTCTGTAACGGTAACGCCCAGAGATGCTTTCCGGGATTAGCAAAGGCGATTTCCCAATAGGAGACTCCCCAATTGTCAAGTTTATATAAACATATATGCCAATTTTAAAGAACTGGGATTGGCGAAAAAGACCGGGACTACTGCCGTGCCTTTCATTTACAACCAGTATCTTCTGCCAGGAGACAATCAAAGAAGACTAAGCTTCTGTGAGTGCCGTGAGTGGATGGTGAACCAATGGAATGAAAATCTCAGTTTCATACATAGAATACTGTGGACTGAAGCGTGCTTCGGTAAAACTGTTGTTTCTAATTTTAAGAACAATCATATTTGGGCACACGAAAACCCGCATGTAGTGTGCGACGTCGCTGGTTTCAACAAGAGTTCTGAATAAATGTATGGATAGGAGTTATAGGGATAATCTTTATGGACTTCATATCTTGCCACCTAGACAAAATGAAAATTCTGATCTGTTTTTAAATTTTTTGGACAATAGCCTCTTCCAGTTACAGATGGATTGATCGGAATGACCCCATACCTTGGCCACTTAAATCATCTGATCTAAATATTTTGCATTATTTTATATAGGGTAATCTAAAAAATGACGTTTATGCCGTCCTTATAGCAAATAGAGATCAGCTAGTGCAATGGTTAAATGAAGTCTGCACTAATTTCAAGCAAAAATGCCAAAAATGCATTGAGGTTAGATGTGGACACGTTGAGCAATTGATTCTATTTGTTTGTTTTTCATTTAACTTTTACTTGTTGTTCGTGTTATTTGAAAGATGACCTCGACTTGTTTGGTATGATAGTGAAAAATGTGTACCGAATAAATTTGATGTAGCGGGTTTTCAGTTATTTAAAAAAATTACTTTATTTTTCTTATAATTTCAACGGCCTGTATGCCATAAACAGTGGTTTTCTGCACCTATGTTCATAGAGCAAAGTGATGTCAATTTTTCTCGATTAGTACTTTCCCGAAGTCTATTAAAATCTGGACCACCCTGTACATTTTTTTGTTTCTTGGAGTGGTAACAGTGTAGGAACAACGGCTGGTTCGTCCAACTCGTTGGTGTTGAGATATTCACATTTTCCGCCATTGTTTGAGCCACAATCGAGGCCATAATGTATGTACTGTGCAGAGCGAGAAATTTCGCCCATGTTTTGAATATCCGCACAATGCCTCAAGAGAAACCTATATGGCAGGCCCGGTCTGGCTCATTCGGGGGCCGTCGGGAAAAATCGAAATCGGGGCCTATTTGGTTTTGTCTGTTATTAGGGTAAGTACATATTGACTTTCCCAAGGAAAACTGTCGTATCTCAAATTTGGTTATACTGAGATAATTGTATTTGAATAGTTGAGAAAATAATAATGTACGTTATTTTTTTATTACAAGAGCTAAATCGTTCTTCTTTAACAAAGTAATTATTGTTTAGGTCTTAATTAATTATTGTGATTTAAATAAAATAGTTTAGGATAAGAAAAAAATTGATTTTGAATGAGTTACTACAGTTTTCGTGGATAAAATTTTTATTGAGAAACAACTTGTTACACTAATAAGGTACAGAAAAATTAAACATTTTCTATTTTTGGATAAAAAAAATAATTGTTAATAATCAATAATAACATAAAAGGGAAATTTATTATGATTCAGAGTCAGAGTCATCTTCTTGGTCAATATTACTTTGTTCCTGGTGGTCAGTCTTACTATAAGGCCGAAGGGAGTTGTAAAATCCATGATACATCGGTGGTATCAAATTAGCCTTACACAGACCCAAAAGACCGCTTAATTTTTTACCATCAATTGGCAGCAAACCTTGTTACAATCCTGGAAATTGAGATTCTTCGCGTTTGCGTGTATTTTTTGTTTGTAAGTCTATCTTTATGATTTTCTCCAAAATTATACAAAAAAATACTTTATTGGGAGACTTTGAATCGTAGTGGATTTCTCTGATTTTGCTGATTTTTACAGCCTCTCCAGTAATATCTTTTTTCCAGTTTTGTTTCTTTACCATTGGTTTAAAAGTTACAAAATCTTCTTGAGACATTTCTTTTACTTTGTACTGTGGGGCAGTAATTTTGGCCATTTTTATAAGACTAATCCACTGATCAGGAGTGTATATAGCAGAGTGACGTTTTTTTTGCAACTTCAATCACAGCATGCATGCTGTCATTTTCATTCTGCGTGTGGCCAATTTCAAAAAAACGGTGTGTTATTTCCAAATCTCAACTCATTGATGCATAAGCAAACATCGCAAAAACAAAACGATTACGGTTTTGACCACCGCAATTGTCGGAATAAAGAATAACCTTTCGTATGCCATTTTCTTTAACACTTTTTAAAAAGATCCATAAACAACTTCCAATTTCATCCGGTCCTCTCTTCGATATTTGCTCATGCCATATATAGCAGTAGCCTTGATTGCTGCCTAAATCATAAATTGTAAAGTTGTATGTTGCGGTTTTACTTATATAATAAAAATCGCTGACTTCTGACTTGGGCGTTACCAACACTTTCTGCAAATTAAAGCATGCTGTTATTAGAGTTTAGATAGATTTAGACAATTCTTTATCTTTCAGATTTCGAACCGCGATTTTGTATAAATTTTGATTATTATAATCATTATTTTTTCTGTTCTCTTCTCGGGATCTGTATTCTTATAGTATAGACCTACACACGGAACACTGATCTTCTTTTTGGCTTAAGTTTGGCTATATTTAATTTCGAATTCTCTCGTTTTTCCTCCAGGCCCACGGCTTATAGATAAAGGACTTATTAGTTTAAAGAGCTTACGTTTTGGAATATATGTCTATTTCTCTCTTTCTTTCCTGTAAGTACACTGTTTATAGGGATATGGGGCAAAATAATAAAATTTGTGTTATTTTTTGACCTGGGAAAATCCCATTTCTACAAAAGATTTAATTTTAATTTTTACATCCTTTTTTCTTTTCAATTTACGGTGGCTATATCTCAAGAATTTACAAAAAAATTTCTTATACTTTTGGCGTCTCGTTAGTTGTTTGGGGGCCTATCTTCCAAAATAAGTCGGGTTTTGCCGACTTCCCGACCTGGCCAGATCGGGCCTGCCATATGGTGCAGTTCCCGCCGTAAAATGGGAATATAAAACAGATAGAAAATTCCGCTAAAATGAGGGTTCGTAAACAAATCAACTCGTAAGGTATCGTAAACCAGAATCGTGCCTTCGGCGTCCATAACAATGTCACGCCTATGAGTGCAAGAAGCCTCAAAATTTTTCGCCTCACTTTCCAAAAAAGGCGCGAAAATGACAACATCCTGGAGACATGAAATC